CTCTGTGTGTGTGTGTCTCTCATGAATAAATAAAATCTTAAAAAAAAAAAAGAAATATTAAAATAGGTAAAACAAGGTCCCAAAGGATGAAAGGAGTCAGTGAGCAGTTGATGCATCTAGAGCTCCAGGCCATCTGTGATGCCAGAGTACTTTTTTTGGTCTTGATATATCACAGCAAAAAGAAAAAATATATATTATTTTTAAAGCTAACTTCGTTATTCAATATGGAAGCTTTATATCAAATGCCAAGTATGCAATTAATAAAAAGCAACAAAATATAATGATTTTTTTTACAAAACAGAAATTCAGTGACTCTTCCTCTCATGCACTATTTCCAGAAGGAAAACTGTAACACAAGGATGTATACTTATGTGCATATTATATATAAAATATATATGACAAACTACATATATGTGTGTCTATATGTAACATACAATATATATGACACAGTATTACTAACATAGAAAATATAAATCATAACTTAGCCAAGAGTCAAACACATGTAAAAAGACAAAATGAGTGGGAAATATCAGAAAGGGAGACGGAACATGAAAGACTTCTAACTCTGGGAAGCGATCTGGGGGTGGTGGAAGGGGAGGTGGGTGGGGGTGACTGGGTGACGGGCACTGAGGTGGGCACTTGATGGGATGAGCACTCGGTGTTATTCTATATGCTGGCAAATTGAACACCAATAAAAAATAAATTTATAAAGAAAAAAAAAAGTCCCAGAGTGAAAAATAACCTCCAGAGGTCATCAAATCATCTTTCTAAAACAAGTTGGTAACTCCCAGATCCAAGAAAGCAATGATTCTACCATCCCGTTTGATGGAAGAGAATTTGCTTTGGCTTTTGGGAAATGGGAGACATGGGGAGAGATATGACAGCCTAGAATCTTCTTTCAGTTTCATCCCCAACATAGTATTAGTATTCACTATGTTAATATCTAAAAATACACTTTGGTAAATATAGTGGCTCTATTCATTGCCAATATCACTGGCAAAAGAATAATGCCATAAAGTTTAGTTTTCTACCTAAATCAATCAATCACTAGCTTGTCTGCTAATATATGCTCTACCAATAGTTAATAATCTTGTCAAAGTTTATGTAATAACAAGATCAACATTCTCAATTCTGTGTCTAAACTCTAGGTTGACTCATTAAATCAAAGTTAAATTCCAAAAGAACAGGTGAGGAGTTACTATTTTTCTATTCAAAAAGCAAAAACAAAAAAAGTGTATTTTATGAAGACAAAGATTGTCAGGTTGACACCAGTTTAATACAAACACTGCTCAATTTGTTACCCAAAAGCTAAGATTCTCTTGTTTCAGGTTATAGTTTTGGTTTTTTTTTTAGGTTATAATTTTCATTATTTGAAATCATAGTTACTGTGACTTTATAAAAACTCACCGTAGAATAAGAGTTATGTAATTGTTAATAAAAATTGAATTTTAGAAGTATTAAGGCATGTAACAATGAAACATTCTAAATGTTACCTGCTACTTAAGATAAATTTTAGTTCTGTTTAAACATAAAATGAAATGTGCAACTCAGACTAAATCAGTGTATAGTAAAAACCAATAGGCAATGAAGGTATCACGGAAACTGGTTAAAAATTATAATGAAGAGAGAACTAGTAAGAATATAGCAACCTGGCTGAAATTGATATTCATTAGGGTACTCTTCACATCAATAGGGAGCATTTGGACTCTGTGGTCTTTATCAGTGTCCCAGCTGGTAATGGTTGAAGGTTAATGCCTTACCCCATTCTGTTCAATTTTCTATCCTAATTAGCCCTCCAAATCTATAGCTGTGAGCACCAAGTGTCTGTGCTCAAAAGAAACTAATTAATGCTAGCAAATTAGATCAAGTCCAAAGATCCAACAGCCAAACTCTTAGTTAAATGCTCCTTGTTAATAGGAAGTGTAGCTGTCAATAACTGCTGTTGGTGACTATAATGAGGCATCTTTCTTTCATTGAAAGTGATTTCATTTCTCTTTGTCCCCGGAAAAGCTGTTCCATTCCCTTCAGAAACCTAAGTTGCTGGCAGTCTGACCCAGTTCTTATGATCAGCTGGGTTGAAATGACATGCAAAAAAATCAAACAGAAAAGCTTTCCTACATAGTCAGGTTTCAGGCATTTAGCAGAAAGTCAGATCACTTATTAAAAAATTCCTCTATCTTTATCCAAGAACTATATACAATGAGAACACGTAATGCTTTTTCATACAATCCTACAATTATTTAATAAAGCAAAGGCTATTAACAGTAAATAAACTACAAGGAAATGTCCTGATTCTAAATTACATCTCATTGTTCAGTTCAAATGTAGCTCTTCTGTTGCTGCTTAAGTGATACCAATGTATGCTCTTTATTAAATCACATGGTTAAGCAGGAGGAATAAAGATTATTCTTTTATAAAATAATCAATTTTAGATTCTATAACACTGTTTTAGACCATATGGCCTAAAAAATATCAATATATGATTATCTATAAAAGATTCAAATATTCAAAAATCAATTTTCATAACATGTTCTAATAGGGGCAAATGCATTAAAATAACTCAACTAGATCTCAAATTTTAAGATGCTTGAATCTTCAGAAGATTTTCAGTATACTGAAAAAAAAAAAAACTTAACCAAATCAACACCCTAAACAACTTTTGATAAAGAAGCAAAAAATAAATATTTTCTTTTCTGTACCACTCATTATGTGATAGTCATGCAACATCACACTTACAAATATTTTAAAGTTATACTCTACTACTTTCATTTTAAAAAACCAAAAAGTTTCACTGTTGATGAATAAGCAAAGGCAGTTCTGAAACCTGAACCCAATTATTCTGCATTTTCATCTGAATCATGTGAGTAAAAACCCAATCTATAATTGAGCTAGCTAACTTTATTTCATTCCAGATACCTGAATAATGTGTTAAAAACAGCATAAATACAACTCATACTTATCACTTTGTACCAATATACCAGTAATAAGTAAATTTTCCTGGTAGTGAAAAGTTAGCCCTATAATTTCATCATGCAGTGTTAATTTTTATCCTCCCTCATCTGAGTTAGAACATGTATTTTTTTTTTTTAAAGTTCTGAGTCAAGTGGAGGATTATCTCGAGAGGAACAGCATGACACCTGCCAATGCCAGCTTTGCACTGACCGCTGTCTGCAGGTAGCAATAGGTTAATTTCTCCTGACACCTGGAGGTGTGGGTGGAAGAAAAGTGCTCTTGATTAAACACTAATTAACAGGGAAAGCAAAGCTAGTATCAGAATGAAAATAATTGTTTTTATTTCTTTAAGGATTTTATTTATTCATGAGAAACCCAGAGAGAGGGGAGGGGCAGGAAAAGGTAAAGTTAGAAGCAGGCTCCTCAAGGTGAGCCCAGTATGGGACTTGATCCCAGGACTCCGGGACCACACTGTGAGCCAAAGGCAGATGCTCCACTGCTGAGCCACCCAAGCAACCCAAAAATAATTAATTATTGATAAAATTTATTTATAGATGGATTTAACTTAAATCTAATTTATGAATGGATTTTAAACTGGAATAGGTTATAAGTCACCTAAGAAACAGAAATGACGGGATCTCTGGGTGGCACAGCGGTTTGGCGCCTGCCTTTAGCCCAGGGCGCGATCCTGGAGACCTGGGATCGAGTCCCACATCGGGCCCCCGGGGCATGGAGCCTGCTTCTCCCTCTGCCTGTGTCTCTGCCTCTCTCTCTCTCTCTCTCTCTCTCTCTCTCTCTGTGACTATCATAAATAAAAATTAAAAAAAGAAAGAAAGAAACAGAAATGACTATCACACAATGTCCATTCCGAGGAATAGTATACTCTTCTCTCACTGCTTCAATCCATGGATTCCAAAGGTCATTCTCCAAGGAGAACAGCATCAGAGGGACAGAAGTATTCCCAGCATACAAACATTACTGACACCACCTGGCTCCCCTGTAGAAACTTGCTGGGGAATTACAGCCCATCATCCTAAGAATCACTGAGATCCCTCAAAGAAGATGACTACAGGGAAAAGTGAAGAGGAGCCAGGAAAATAGTCTATGTCAGCAAAATTTTACTACTAACTTCTTCTAGATGGCCATTTCAGGAGGTGGATTTTTTTAAGAAGCTATTTCTACAGTCATACTGCCATCTGCTTTTCTAATGATCCACTGCTTATGGCCTCATTTTTTCACCAAATATTATATATTAATCAACAGTATCTTTCTAGATTTACAAAGTACAGGAGTATCTCATGTTAACATTTTCCAAAGAAAATGTGCATATAGAGTGCCTAGTGCATGCATTTACATAAATATCTTCCACTTAGAAATGTAAAATACGGGAACACCTGGGTGGCTCAGCAGTTAAGCATCTGCCTTCAGTTCAGGGCGTGATCCTGGAATTACGGGATCAAGTCCCACATCGGGCTCCCTGCATGCATGGAGCATGCTTCTCCCTCTGCCTGTGTCTCTGCCTCTCTCTGTGTGTCTCTCATGAATAAATAAAAAAGAAATCTAAAAAAAAAAAAAAATTAAAATATGGAAAAGGAAAAAATAAAAAGATGCATTGTAAATAATATTGGGATTCCATTAACAATTCAGTAATAGACAATGACACCAAAGATCATCTTAGTATATACATCTATATGAATATGTTGATGAAGAAAAAACAGGTACATGTTACATTTGATGTTTATTTCCCTATCAAAATTACTAGAATAACTAGTTTCTCTAAAATACTCAAAACCAAGTTTCTCTCTATATATGTAACCATGCTTTTGGGGAAAAAATGTTTTTTACTGGTAATTTGGGAGAATATTTTTAAATTGTAAATGAACACCGTCTGGAAGTTCTGAAAGCTGAAATACTGGTATCTCAGTGAAAGGGTGAGAAGCAATTCATACATATTAATTCATTGACTACTTGATTCTGAGGCTAAGGATTAAATTCAGATCATATTATAAAAAATGTATTTGATCTTTATATGAATATTTGAATCTTACCTTGAACTTGTTCAGAACATCTGTCTCGGGCTTTTTCTCTCATTATTTTAGGGATCAAAACATCCTTTTCAACATGTCTGAGATGCTGATCTGGAAAAAAAAAAAAAGAAAAAGATTTTTCTTTAATATAATGAAGTCTCACGTAAATCACCAGTTTAGGAAAAATAAGCACTCTGGCTTACTCAAAAAGCCTATACAAACATACTAAAAACTGACTCTCACAACCTCATAAAGTTGTGATTATTTTAGTTACTAAAAATCATTCTAAATAATTTTTATATGCAACAGAAAAAAAATATGGGACACAGGCAATATCTTTCCAAAAACTTCTACAAGCTATATTGCGACACTTTTATTTGATAACATAGTCCATGCAGTCTTGTCAAAATTAAAGTCATAAACTAAAACATTAATTAGTTCCTCAACCTAGTAGTAAAGAATAGCCTAAGAAAGAAAGAACTGGTAAAAGAAAAGCAGAACTACATGTGCACATAAAAACATTGCACGTGAAATTTATGTGCATTTTAAACAAAACTACCACAATTAGACTAAAATGATAGAGCAGCTACTGCAGAGTGCTACCAGCTCCTTAAATTCATAGAGTCTTGAAAAACAAAGGGGTAGGTGTCCTCTGAGAAAGCAAAATAATCAAGAGTCTCTTTGAAAGACAAAAGGCTTAAAGGAGCTAATCATACACAGAGTTTTTTCCCAGGAAAAAAATTTATGCCAAAAGTGAGTATTGCTCCATGCACTGAAGCAGCAAAAATGAGAAGAGACTTCCCTGAAAGAAACCAAAGCATTACTAAGTTAAAATACTTCAGTAGGAGCAAGTGGGTGACCTCTTCTGCTGCCTTTACATCATAGGTAAAAGAAGTAATACCTGTATTTATCCCCAAAGGATCAGGAAGTTTCCCAATATCTAGTGACAGCTAAGACCTTAGACTAGGAGCCTCTAAATTCTTCCTGGTACTATACAATTCCCAACAACCTCTGGAAATAGGCAGCGATGAAGTGATAGATATTTGCAAAGAGTGTAAAAAGGGATCTTAAAAAGCAAACAAAATCAACAACAAAACAGCCAAGAATCCCCTAAATTAAATGGGACAACACAGTGAAAGGGAGAAACCAACTCTAATTAATCAAGAAATATCCACATCATGGAGAGTTAAAAGAGTAAATATATATATATATATATATATATATATATATATATATATATGTGTGTGTGTATTTTAAAGTTTAATAAGTATACTGAAGTAAATAAAAAGATAGAAGTCCTCAGACAGAAACGGATCATAGAAAACCTACACGCACTTTGAAAATACCTTAAGGTCAAAAATTCTAAAAGCTTCAAAAGGGAGAACACATAACCCACACAGAGGAATGAGAATCAGATTTACATCATGTTTCACTGCCAAAACTTGGGATGTATGAAGACAATGGACAAATAATTTCAAAGCTCTGAGAGTGAATTACTTTAGATCCAAGAATTCCAAAGCCAATTAAGAGTGCAGTTTAAAATATTTTCAGATATGTAAGGACTGAAACCCCTGGCAAATCTTACTGAAAAGGACTGATCCCTATTGTTGTGCAACAGCCATCAATCAAACTTCATGGTGTAAAACAAACATTTGTTACGCATGGAGATCCAACAGGCTAGTAATTCAGAACGGTAAAGCAGAATGGACTCCTCTGCCTCACAGTATCTGGGGCCTCATCTAGGCTGAGTCAAATGACTGGCATTAACTACAACAGCTGCAAAAGCTGAGGTTGAAGGACTACTTCCAGGATGACTTCTTTCTTCATTTACATATTTGACAAATGGGCTGCAATGGCTGATGAATGGGCTCAGTGAGGACTGTAAACTAGAGCACCTATACATGGCTTCTCCATGTAGTTTGGCTTCTCACAGTACAGCAGGTAGGTCAGACGGAGAGGGAGCAACCTAAGAAGGAATGTCTAAAGAGCAAGCGTTCCAAGAAAACCAAGTAAAAGCAGTATGGCCTTTTCTGACTCTGTCACAGAAGCCATGAAACATCCTTCTTGTCTCACTACGTTAATCAAGTCACAAAGGACAGGCTATACTCAACTGCAGGGGAATGAAGACTCCATTCTTTCTTGCAAGGCCACATTACAGAAGAACATGAGGGATGGAAGATGTGACTTTCTTTGTAAAACAAAACCTACCATAAGAAGTAATAAAGAATATACTCTGATAAAATAAAAATGAATCCCTGTACAAATGTGAAATATATGTACAAATGTGAAATATATAAAACATATTAGAAAACATATTTTTAATATTAAAATTATAAAGCACCTGAACCATATCATCAACTATTTACAGAAGATTCCTCTTGATAACAGCTAAAAATTGACCAAGATAAACCATAGTCTATGAAACAAATCTCAGTAAGTTTAAAAGAATTCAAAATCATAAAAGTATGTTCCCTGACACCAATGTAATTAGGTTAGAAATCAGTAACAGAAAGATGTCTTGATAATCTCCAAACATCTGGAAACTAACACACTTTTAAATAGCCCTTGGGATGGGGCATTTGGATGGCTCAGTGTTTGAGCAACTGCCTTTGACTCAGGGTGTGATTCCAGGGTCCTGGGATCGAGTCCTGCATCAGGCTCCTCCTGTAGAAACTGCTTCTCCCTCTGCCTATGTCTCTGCTTCTCTGGGTCTCTCATGAATAAATAAATAATAAAAAAAAAAAAGAAAAAGAAAAAGAAAAAGAAAAAGAAAAAGAAAAAGAAAAAGAAAAAGAAAAAGAAAAAGAAAAAGAAAAAGAAAAAGAAAAAGAAAAAAAACCCATGGGTCTAAGAAGAAATCAAAAGGGAAAGTATTTTGAAATAAATGAAAATAAAACAGCATAATTTGTGTGATGCAGTTAAAACAGTACTGAGAGGAAAATCTGTAACACTAAAAGTCCACTTTGAGAAAGGAGGATGGTCTTAAATCAATGACATAAGCTTCCAAAAAAAAAAAAAAATGACATAAGCTTCCACCTTGAAATATCAGAAAAAATAAACACAAAAGAAAATAAGTAATAAAGATCAAAGCCAAAATCAATAAGCTAGAAAATAAACAAAATGATAGAGAAAAGCAATGAAGTCAAAGCTGATTCACTAAGATTATTAAAATTGATAAATCACTAGCCAGGATAAAAGAGCACAAACATTAGATGGAAGAAATAAAACCGCAGTTATTCAAAGGAAATAAGATTATTTATCTAGAAAATCCAGTAGAGGGATCCCTGGGTGGCGCAGCGGTTTGGCGCCTGCCTTTGGCCCAGGGCGCGATCCTGGAGACCCGGGATCGAATCCCACGTCAGGCTCCCGGTGCATGGAGCCTGCTTCTCCCTCTGCCTGTGTCTCTGCCTCTCTCTCTCTCTCTCACTGTGTGCCTATCATTAAAAAAAAAAAAAAAATAGAAAATCCAGTAGAATCTACAAAAAAGTTACTAGAACTAACATGTGAGTTCAGCAAGGTTTCCAGATATAAGATTAATATATAAAAATCAAGTAGAGATTAAATAATAATTTTTAAAATAGCATTTTAAAAGATGAACTAAGGCTCAGGAGCTGCAGGATGAAAAAAAGAAATCTATCACTTACTTTACCAGAGTCTCAGAAGGAAAAAGAATGTAGAGCCAAAAAAAATAGTTGAAGAAATAATGGCTGAAACCCTTCCAAATGAGGTAAAAGACATAAACCTCTTAAGGAAAACAATTAAAAACACAAACCTAAGACCTAAGATACCTAAGACACATCATAATCAAACTTCTGAAAATGAAAGGCAAAGAAAAATCTTCAAAGCATCAGAGAGAAATATAGGAGAACAAAGATTCAAAAGACAAAGGATTTCTCAGGGCACCTGGGTGACTCAGTCGGTTGAACATCTGCCTTCAGCTCAGGTCATGATCCCAGGGTCCTGGGATTGAGCCCTGCATCAGGCTGCCTGCTCAGCAGGGAGTCTGCTTCTCCCTCTCCACATGCCCCTCCTCTCCACTTGCATGTGTGCTCTCTCTTTCTCAAATAAATAAAATCTTTAAAAATACACATACACAAAGGAAAACAAAAGATAAAGGATTTCTCATCCGAAACCACAGATGCCAGAAGGAAGTGCATAATACTTTCAAGTACTAAAGAAAAGAACTATCAAAAATTCTATATCCATCAAATATTCTTTAGGATTGAAGATGAAATAAAGACAACTCATATGAAGGGAAGCTAAAGTAATTTCTTGTCAGCAGACCTATTTTCAAAGAATGGCTTCCTTCAAACAGGAAGGATATGGTAACAAAAGGAAACACAAAACAGGAATTAAGAAATACAACAGAAAGATAAATAAACTATTCTCTTCTTGAGTTTTAAGTATTATCTTTGACAGAAGCAAAAATCATAGCATTCTCAATGTGTATAGAGGTAATACTAAGGATGACTATACCATAAAAGGGAGATGGTAAATCAACTTTGGTGATAGCAAGATTATCTCCATTCCACTTAAATGATAAAATGTTCATGCTGAGAGACTATCATAACCTATGTACATATAGTATAATCTTGTAACAATCACTAAAAAAAATAATAATAAAAATACTAAATAAATCAAATGGAATATCAACAAATTGGAAGTATTTTTTCTGGCCATAATAGAATCAACTAGATACTAAAAACAAAAAGTAGCAGGAAAATCTCCTAACACCTGGAAATTAAACAGTACTCTTCCAAATAAATCATAGATCAAAGAAGTATTAAGAAGGGTAGAAGAATACAAAAACAAAAACAGAACTTCCTAAAACTTCTAAGACAAAGCTAAAGCAGTGCTTTTAGGGAAATTTATAGCAATAAATGTTCACACTTAAAAAGAAAGTCTCAAACTAATAATCTATGCTTCCATCTGCAAAACTAGAAAAAGAACAAAAGGAACTTAAAACAAGCCCAAAAAATAAGCAGAAATCAGTAAAATTGAAAACAGGGAAACAAATGAGATAATTATACTGAAGTTTTGTTGTTTTAGAAAAATCAAACTGGCCCAGATGGCTTAATTGACAAAGTCTATGAAATATTTAAAGAAAAAAT